TCATCGCCAGTTACAGTCCGATTCAGAAACGGGTCGATTTCATTACGATTCATCAAAGACTGGATGGATGGAAACTCGGTCCATCTGGGGTTTTTGCGTTACTTCGGGTGACACCCAAACATACAGCGTCTTTTTGAATCCAAGGTTATGCAAATGGTTCCAAACGGTTTTCCGGCTTACCCTTAGTTCCTCAGCAATTAAATAAATGCTTACGTGACGGTCTATTTTCACAATTTCCATGATTATATCGCATCTTTGACATCGAAATTTTTGGAACGGAACCTAGCGAACCACTTTTGTGCTACACTTTGGCTACTTTTTCGCCTAGATCGAAAAAAAAAAGTTAAATACAGCGAATTTTCTCTTTGCTGGTGTCCATCTTTCACGAGCGCTCACAACGTACTGAGCCAATCAATCGAAAAACTTTCAAAGACAAACTTTTAGCGCGAATAAACATGTTTTCAGCGACGTCTAGTATGACATGATGCGACAAGTAACGCTAGTACTATGGACAATAACGCCATCTCTTAGATTAAAACCGAACGACCAATATATATTTATACATTTTTTATTTAATTTTGGTATACATTAAATTATCATTTATTACTTATGTATATCTGTACATATACTATCTTAAATAAAGTGGAAATTTGTGGAATTTTTATATAATTTTTTTAACAACAAGTATAAAACATTTTAAGAATGAGGAAATTTAGAAAAAAATTAATTAATATTCTCTAATTTCTATATGTTGGTTAGACCAGGGCTAGATCCCTTGGACAAGTAATAAAAATATATTTTATAAAGCAGCTTTTTTAAATAAATAGTGTTATTTTGATATTCAGAGAAATATTTTACTCTTTTGATAAATGATTGGCTGTATATTTCTGTGTAAGGAAGAAGATATGCCTCTAATAATGGGAGACAATATCGAACAAATAGCTTACAGGACAATATTATTTTTATGATATTTTTCATCATCAAATAGTTAACTGGCTGCTGAGTGCCCACATTATCTTCATGAATTCCAACTTTGAGGTCGTGCATCGGTATTTGTCTGTTGGCGTAGACCTTTACTTTCTCGCCTACTAAAGAAAAAAGTCGTAAGGTGGAAAATCACAGATTTTAATGGCCAATTGCGATCAATTAACTACTCCACTGCAACATTTTGTCTGATTTGGTCAATATACGAACGTAAACTAACATCAGTTTCGTTATTTGGTATTTTGGTAAAAATAAAAATTTGCAGACTCAGTAAAATTTTAACTCTACATAGGAAAGTATTTCTCAAATAATCTGTTTAGAAAGAAGATTTCGAAGGGTATTATAAACAAGTAAGTAAATGCGTTTTTGTTAAAAAAGATGAAAAAAAATATTAGAATCTTGATAATATCTCCAATTGAAATTTCTTAGAAAAATATTCTACATCAAAATTATACACAAACAAATTACTTTACATCGAATATATTAATCTCTATTAAAAAATTAAATTTAGCATATAAATTTCACGCGAATCTCATATCCATTCATTTTCAGCTGTTATCATATGCCATAAATTCAATTTATGCCATAAATTCCAGGCGATTAACAATTTTCGCATATACATACTTTATGTTCACAAACATAAATACATAAATACGCGCATGTGGAGACTAAAAGTTTGGGCATATTGAAAAACATATGTGCTTACAGGGGGTGTCATAGCAAAGTGGCTACTCTACAGGCAGCAGTTTTGTATTTTGAAAATAATATATATAAATATAAATTTAGATTTAAGCTTTCACACTAAAAAAATAGTTGTTTTTAACTTATTGCATCAATAAGAAAAGGTCGAGCTCTTATAAAATTGAGATAATTTTTACACCGTTAAAGGGGAAAAAAAGGAAATTTCTATCAACGGTATCTTAAAATATAAAGCTATCGCTTATGAAATTAGCTGTAAAAGGAGCATTATTTTTTTTCTATATGAATTGAAATTTTCGAACTACACATAAAATTCAGAATATTATTTCAAAAATTTAAAAATCCGAATGTCTTAGTCTCTTGGGCTTTGTACCGATGTAGCCATAGTGTTGGAAACTACAATCAAAGTTGGTAATCTCGATTACTCAGAAATAACTCAATTGGCTGGGCTTGATTTATTACGAACGAGAAAAGGCAAATTCCTGAAGATGAAGTACTTCTGCAGAGAATTCCGATTTTTTAGTGTCAGAACAATTTTTTCGTTTCCTTATTCAAAGAAACTGTCGCAAAAGCATTTTTTAGAACGAAATATCATCTTTCTAGCAGATGCTTATCTTAGGCAAATGTGAGATAGCCAATGAATTCTTGAGTTAATTGCTATTGGAGACAGCATATTCTCTTTAAAAATCCTCTAAAATCTTACAGCGACACTTTTTACTAACGCCAACTAAACTGGATACTAGCAACAAATTCAGAAAATACGCTTCGTGGGTTTTAGTCAGCAGCGCATATTTTTTTTTAAATATTTTTATATTTTTAAAAAGAAAAGAAAAACAGGCATGACTTTTCTGAATAAAAAGTTGAAGACTTCGTCTTCTTCTTGACACCGCTTACGCGATTTTAGCTGGGTTAACAATCATCCGTCAATCAATTACTGTTTTCGCTGCTTGGCGTTGAAGACCGGAAAGGAAAAAGTTATTTTAAATTTTTTTCTTAAAAAATACAGAAACTGACATCTGCGACTGCTTTTTAATTATTACACTGTTATTTACTACCAGATCTACTAAATGTAATAACAAATTTTCCTTGGTTATATTTCACTTAAAGCGAAGTATTTATTACTTTTCATAGTTTTATTTTGAAAATGCTCTTATATCTTTTGTTTTCGGTGTCCTTTCAACAACGCTAACGCTCTAAATGTTGCTTAGTGTATCGTGAGTACCGTTAGATTGAGTGTAGCGTATAGCAATATTTCGTTTTCATTTATCTTCAGAAGAAAAGGAAAAAAAGTATGTCCTTTTCCTTTTCCATTTCCTTAATTCATTTGAAATTTGTCATTTTACTGCTTTGTTTACGGTTTTTTCATGCGCATTTTTTTGGATACACTTGCCGTAAATATCCTTTCATTTGGGTTAATGTGCTCACTACTATTCGTGCTGAACTTTTCTCTAACATTTTGCGACCTCTCTCTTCTTCTGCTTCTTCATTACCTCGCTTATGCTCAAACTTCTTTTGTAAACATTTCGTTTTCACCATTTGTCTTGAAACATTTCCTTTTTATTATTTGCTTCATTTTTAGGCGGAGACTTCAAGGCGTCTGTGAACGTTGGCGGCTTTTTCTTGGCCCAGTAATACTCTTTTACATACATACCATTATGCTGAGCTTACTCGCATACGCTTATACATACGAGTATATGTAAGTTTATATATATTCATGTACACATTCAATAACCGGAAAATGAATGTCAATTTTATTAAACACCAGCGTACAATTGGCGAACTTGAGGATAAGGGTAATATTTAAATTGGCCTGCTCGTTATATTCACGCTTTACGCGCTTACACATGCCTAACGCTGTGCGCGAACAAGTGGAATATTGAAACCAAATGTGTATATGCATACAGAAGCGTTTAAGTAACAAAAGAATTTGCATATTTTCTGGCGCTTTTAACAATGGTTACGCAAATAATTTTATGTCATTCGCAGTTTGAGCAAATAATTTATTGTTTTTTGCATTTTTGCATTCGGAAATAAATTTTTAAGCATTCTTTCATTCACAATTTTTTTTTTATTTATTTTATTAAAGAAAATGTGTATTAAAAAAAAAGTACAATTAGTTAAAAATAATTTCTTTAATTTCAGGTCAAGTAAAAGGAAATGCATTATTTTTGCTTCAAACTTCATTTGTACATCTGAGCGATTGCTTGGTTCCGACGGTCCTACTACGAACAGTACAAGTTAAACTTACGAATTTGGCCGTAGGGGAGAACCTCGTTGTGACACCTCTACAACTTACTTATAGAAGCGTCATTCGTATAAGAGGTTGTCAGTTTCATCATCCTGAAGTGTTTCGCTTTCACTGCAACTTGGATCAATAAATCCGTTGCTACCTCATCTCCTTGAGCTCTTATATGAAAAAACATTTTGTTAGTTGCTGCAACAAATTGTGGTAGTTGCTGTTGGCCGCGATATTATGAAGCAGACAGACATGGCTATCCTTATCGTACGAGCTTCTTTTCAACCCTGACGAAGACTAAACGTTTCGTTGGTGGCTCAATGGAGAGAGCTTTACTTACTGTCCCACAGCAGCCTTATACTGAGTTGTTGATTAGTACTCTCAGAGAAAAACTTCGTAGATTGTGGTAGCAGCTTCTCGACGTCTAACCTACCGTGCCAATATATCGGCTTCTTATCGTGCGGTCGATAGCTCTGCAAATGAGTGCCATTTCGCAAGATGAAGTAACCTACCCGTTTTTTTTTACGATGCCTCTTCTTCAGAGGTGTGGCAGAGTGCGGGCGTCGGCCTTGAAGAAAGCCACTTGCCTTATAACTTTTAATTTAAATTGTGTCCTTCACTACTTGGTTTTGGGAGCCACCACAATAAAATACAGCAGAAAGTTCAGTACAAAAATAACTGAATGTTAATGAATGTTTCATTTAAAAAATGAAGGGGTAGAGCTGATCTTCTTGTTACCTCCACAAAAAGAAGAGAGACCTTTCGAAAGTGTTATGGAATTTTACGTTCAGCTTTTTCGAGAGCCGACCGCTATTAGACAAAGTAATTTTAGAATGAAAATTATATACCAACCATGGCACTTCGATAAAAGAAAGACGGGGATTACATATTATATTTGACCAAGTGGCTTTTGAAATACGATATTACTACACAGTACATATGTAATGATTATTATTTTTTAAAGTAAATGTTGTCTTTTTCAAATTCGGAAGCTAAAATACATCATAAACTATATACAAAATAATTTGAATAAAATTTTATCACTATCCCATCTCCATTTCAAATATTTTTTTATACTTACAATCATTGTGATTTTTGGCATTGACGGTGAGTACCGTTGTCTGTAGGTCGGCATTCTCATCAATTTCAGTCTCGTAAAGAAATCTGTCAAAATACGGTGGTGAGTCGTTTTTATCGGCAATACCAATGCGTACAAATTTTGTAACTGCAAAGAGTTGAAAAATAAAATAAAAATATACTAACATTAGAAAAGCGAAAATCATTGTAAAATAGTGTTTTTTTATTGGATTTAAGTGGTTGGAAAAATGTTTTTATGAAAACTTCCAAATTTTCATAAATAGTTCGTTCCTGTGTGCGTGTGCAGCCGATGCAAGTTCTTTACACTCGTGTGCAAAAATAAAAAGTGAATCTACTCAGTAATTTTAAGAACACATCTGTAACAACTGCAACTATTTTCACTCTTAACTTAGTAAGTGCAATTTACGAAATACTAGTAAGTAAAATAATTCCATATTGTTTTTATTGTTTATATCCTTATCCACCGGTATTTGAATAGGGTAGTAAAACGCGTGAAAGAAAGAGGCCGACCTGATTGAGTATGAAGAGAAGCTGGCCGACAAGGGTATTGCTGGTAAATTCTCTGAAAAGATCCGGCGGCCTACAGAAGGTTTTAAGACCGGAGCCATTAAAGAGTACAACGATGTGATTTAGTAGCTGATGACCAGAGTATACTGAATTTAAGGGGGGACCACTTCTTTATTCTGCTGAGTATCAGTGAACATAGAACCAATCCAATCGACGAAAACGAAATAAATGTTTCATTAGGCGACTATTAGAAAGCTCGAATAGCAATTGTCCGTTTGATAAACAATTAAGCCGGAGTGACCGATGGATAGCCCGTCGATCTTATGGTTCACATATCTGCTTCTGCACCAATTACCGTAGGATAAAGCTTCTCATTTTTGCATATAATGGTATGGAAGACATCATAAACATTAACTAAATAATAAATTTGAGTTAACTCTTGGAAGATATCAGTGAAAAGAGGATCGATACACACCACCGTAAAACTTAAATGAGTGTGCAAACTGAAGTTAGGCAACAACATAAGCTCCATTTGGATCGGCAAGAACCTCTTTCAGCTGTTTGCTATCAAACAAGATTTAAGATACGGTAAATAATGCCTTATTACGTGAGCTCTTCAATTTATTAATAAAGGAAATGATCTGAGTTGCAGAGCTGAATAGACAAAACCATTAACATCATTAGAGCAGGTAGTTTTGATTTCTCCTCACTGTGAAAGGAAGTGAAAGTTATGGGTCTGATATTGAACGAGAACAAGTCGAAATAGTTCCAGTCCCCAAACAGACAGCCATTGCATTCACGACTGGGCACCCAGGTCACTGTTGACAATCAAAACTTTAAAGTCGTAAATAATTTCGACTACCTGATAACCAGTATTAATACCAACAATATTGTCAAGCCTGTAAATCTAACGCTAAATTAATTGAAAAGTAAAGGCATCTCTTGACAAACAAAAACCCTAGTAGCTTATCGTTTCCGTCACACATATATAATGCGGAGGCATGGACGATGACAATATCTGCATGGAGTTTTCGACAGAGAAGTTTTGCATGAGATTTACGGTCCTCGGGGAGTTTTGTACGGCGAGATTTAAGCTTTAAGAGTATTCGACTCGGTTCCCATCGCTGGAAGCAGAGAAAGAGATGGACCTACACTCTGTTGGAAATACCAGGTGGAAAAGAACCTGACTGTACTTGGTATTTCGAGTTGACATCAATCACACCTTAACCAATGAGAAGGTATACCAACTAAATGTCTGGAAAGAATCCAGGATATTGAATAAATTGTTTATAGTATGCTCGCCTCCGTAAGGTTGGATATGGGAGTTTTGTGGGAGATGTGACGTCACGATCGGCTGAAGGCAGGATATTCGCATATCCAGCTAGTACAGAAACAAATTTATAATATATTCGTGATTTTGTTAAAAGATAATCTATGTACAAGTAATATTTTGTCCATGAGTGTATGTATTTGAGCATAGACTGTAACATTTTACTTATGCCTCTTAAACAAAATATATATAAATACAGTTAAAAGTTTGGATATTCCAAAACTTTAATGGCTAAGTTTGAAAGTGTGCGTATGTGCTCTTACAATAAAACATTCTTACAACAAACAATGGAAACTATTTACAATGCATTTCATTGATTTTTATAGCACACATCTGGATACTAATACAACTATACCCTAGATGCCGAAAAGGAATTCGGTCGACCGTGCGTTAACGCAGAGTATTGAATTTTAATTTTTTTTTATTTTAAATGGAACTTTATAATAATTTTTTCCAGAGAAACAAGTATGCCTGCAGAGATATTTCATAGCCACATATAGAGAAGTGTTCTACGTAACTTTTATGGTAAACTTAGTGTATATAAATTGCTCGTTTCAAAAATGTTCCAATCATTTGTTGAAGCTGATAGGAGGCGATATTTTCAGCCGTTAAACTGTAACCACATTTGACAATTTGACGCCTCAAAATGAAATACGTCCGAAGAGCATTTACTTTCCTAGAGGGCATTTCTGCGCAAATATCCGCATACATGCATATCTATATTTTTATTATTACTGAATCTCTGTAAATAGTTTAAACAACAATTTATTTCATTCATGTTTTCTTACTTTTTATGTCCCAATTTTTGATACAGACGTCGGATGTTGCCTCTGAATGCTTCTTAAAGAAATGTGAGGCGCACATGATGGAAACTGTTCTTCTACACACGTACGACACATATACTCTATGTAAATACATATGGACATATATACACCAATTGTTTAGTAGTTGCTTCAGGTGAATTCATGCGGAGTTAAATCCATTTACATATGTACATACATATGTACGTGCAACAATTAAACTTTATGTGCATGTTTGCTTGAGCTGACTTTTATTGCTCGACATGCATATGCATACATTTAAAGATGCTTGCATAAGATCTGCTGATATGTGAAATAGTTTTGTTATGTTATTTGGAATTGAAACTTTTTTTTTTTTGAGAAAAGTTATCTTGATTTCTCAAATAAAATTTCCAAAAATTTTACTTTTAAATTTTGTTTAAATATTTTAAATTAAAATAAATATAGAAATGAAACTATTCAAAAAATCTTGTTCTGTTGACGGAATCATTTTTTATTTTCCGACTAAAAAATCGCAATTCTAGTGGCTTGCCATGAGCGTTGAAGATCTCAAAAGGACTTTTTTAATTTTTTTACTTACAATAGCGAATTTAAAAATAGTTGTATGACCTTCTCACATTCTCCTCGAACAAACACAGGCTCATATTTTAGATAATTAATTAATTTAGGTGCGGCAAAGGTTGGGGCTATGTGCCTTCAAAAGTATTAAGTACTGTCTTAAATCAAACTTTACCTTGCCTGTTCACATGGACATTGAAACAAATGAGATAGCTGACGAATTGGTTAAGGAGGGCGTTCTTTTAGAACATAACGTAATAATGACCCTACCAGAAGCAGTCTTACTTCGTAAGTCGAATAAACTTTGGGAAAGTGGTAAGAGCTGCAGAATGGCTATGTGCAAAACTTAAATACGTTAAGTTAACTGAGATTTACTATAAGAAAAGGCTGTTCCAGGCTGTAGAAAGGGCTTTTGACGTCGTTAGATTTCAATACAGATCTGATGAACAGCAAGTGGAGGTAATGTAATGAATATAAGGAGACAATGGACCTCGTTATTTGTGAGTGTCCAGCATTCGACTGACAAAGGGAATTACAATTACTTACAATTGTGAATGAAAAAGTGTGCAAAATGCCAGCTTCAACTTTTAACTAGTGGACAAAGAGTGTAGCAGCGCAGCTTATGGTCGTATATACTCTAACTTGCAGAACTATGTATGTATACATGAGACCTAATAGGTCAGCCAGTGTAACCCAACCTAATCCTTTCAAAGGATTTTTTTTTAATTTATTGCATTCTCCATGGAGAGAAGTAACTGCAAAAATAAAATATAGAGGAAATACAGCAAGGCGCTTTAAAACTCGAGTAGAATGACCATTTCGCTGCAGTAGAGCTACGGCCTTAGGTAGGTCATTAATACATACCTATGCAATTGTCATTAGATTAACACGAAGTGTGGCCATAAGTTTTATGAGAATAATTGATTGCAACCAACCGAACCCAGCTCTTAAATGCCAACCTCGATTATTAGACCAGCTTCTTCTTCAAGTGTGTGAGAATGTGTTTTTCGAATAAATTAAAGGAACTTGCACTTTATACTAAGACGCCTCCGATCGGATGCCGAATTTTTTTGAAGAGGTTTTGCTTTAAGGGATGATGCGATGAGTGATCGCAATTAGAAAAATTCCTTTTTATTTTAATATCGGATGTTGGTCCGAACTAAGACTCCAACCCTGGCATACCAAGTGGCAGTAATCACTTTTAACCACACTTGACTCTTGCGGTCGGAATAACATAGAATTATAAAAGAAGTCACTCAAAATTAATTAATGTTATCTTGAAAAAAATGTTTATTAAGAACATTCAACTACTTAATCTCGTGCATTAATGTGGAATGGTTTGGAAGGTGTGCCTGTCGTAGGTTTTCTCGCTGTCTGGCGCCAATAAAAAACACTAAGTGAGACCAGATCTTTCTCCACCTTACTATTCCAAACGGAAAGGTTTGCTCTTCCCCTTCTTCCATTTTGGAATACCGCTTTGAATACATTACTGGAGTGTTCTCGCCTTTTCGGATGGTATGATCTAGCGAAATATGCCAATTTCCTTGTACCTCCTCTCTTTAGTTCCGCACATTTTATTATATTCCCTACCATTCTTCACTATAAATACGTTTATTACTGTACGGATTGATAATGTCTTTCTTGATCGGAAAATACCTTTTGATATTGCTCAGCATCAGTTAACCCAGCCGTATATTCTTTGCTATCATTCAAATTCAGATCTCTTCATGGTTAATATCTGGTAAGAAATGGATTTGTCAAGTTTCAAGCACACATAGGTTCCATCACAGGACATCTCCAAAAGTATGGTAAATAAAATCCAGTCATACACAGAGGATGGTGAAATTGTTTTTTTTTAGAGTGAAGGTCTTTTAGACGATTGGAATCAACCAAGCCCCAGCTTTATGAGGGTAGCTACATAGAGTTAAAAAA